TCACTAGCCCTGGCCAACGCCTGAAGTGGGGAAGGGAACATTACCACTTCAGCGCAAGTAAGAGCGGCTAAAACTCCTACTAGCCCGAGGTGTTTCCCTGCGAAGTGCTCGCAAAAGCACTGCCAGGGTTCGATGATAGTCCCACCACCAGTGGTGAGGCTACGCTCGTTAGGACTTTCTTACCTCGACACATTTTGGACGTGTGGCCATAGTTGCCACAGTTCATGCACGTACCCCTAGCAACTCGGTCCCTCCACACCTCATACTCTAAACCAAGTTTCACCCGGGCAGGCGTACCTTGGTTGTCCTGACCCGTGAACCGTACTACCTTCTTTTTCCCGGTCCCCATAGCCTTTTCTTTGATGGGCGCCACGACTCCCCCATTCGAAGTCTCGTTGGCCCCATCGTGCTCTGTCTCCTCCCCAAGGTCTGGGAAGTCGTTAATTTCCGTCGTCTGACCATCGTGGTCAACGAACATTAGTTGCCCTTTCTTCTTCCAGTCCTGGGGTAGTCTCTTCTTCCTACCATCCCCTTAACTCTGATGCACGGACCCCAGTTTTGCCTCTATATCTAAGGCCTTCTTGCTAAAGGAGGCGAAGTTGTGCTGCTCGACATAGGCCTCATCCACCAGCTTTGTCCTAACCTCTGAAGGCAGACATGTTAGGTAATCCGTGAGGAGAACCTGCTGGTCATAGCGCACACCAGGTACCACGAGCAGATGTTCTACGGTATCCATGAGCTCTCGAACATTCTTGTACCTTCTGGCACAAAAGTTGTTGATTGCGTCTGTAGCCTTTTGAGCCCCTTGAGGGTCATGCCACCTGTTATACACGAACCGTACGGGCCAGGCATCGAAGTTTTGACCGTAGCCCTGTTGTTGCACTAGGCCATTCAACCAGCGGGCTGCTCACCCTTCTAAAAAGGAGCCAGCCACTACAACTTCTTGCTCCGGCCTCGTAAGCTTGTGCCTCACATAGGTAGGCATCGTCCTTACCCAGGTATCCAAGTCCTCATCCTTCTTCCTGTCGCCGGAAAAGGGCTTAGGACTCAGCAAGGGTATTTTGGGCATCCACTGCATAGGCTGCATTGGCCCAGGAGATTGCTGCAGTGGCTGCATAGCCACCGAAACAGGTTGCTGCACACTAACCTGAGCCTGACTTCACAGTGGGACTGTAGGAAACCACTGTCGTGGATGGTATGACAGAAGTTCTAAAATCCGGACCACTAGTCGCTACATAACCACCTGGAGGGGGCATGCCAAACATAGGTGAGAATGAGGGTCCAGCCAGCGGCGGCATGAATGATGGACCTGCAACCGATGGGAGAGTTACAGCACATTGAGGCTACCTCATCATGGGACGAGGAGCCTGCAGTGCAGCCAAAATCTGCTTTTGTCCTGCCACTAGTTCAGCCATCACTTCCTGCTGGACAGCTTGCGCTTCAGCCACGCAAAGAAGCGAGTTACGCAGCGCTCGCATCGCAGGGTCAAGTGTTGACTCATCTAATGCTTATAATTTGCCTAGCTCTTGTCTCCTACTCCCTAGTCTAGCTTTTCTCATGATTGCTCTTCTTCTTCTCTTTGCTGCCTCATCCAATTGCCGTTGTAGCTCATCCTGAAGTTGTTCTGCTTGGAGGATCTCATAATCCTCCGGCGTGAGTTGAGCCTGTTGGCTGACTTGCAAGCCAATACTTTGGCTAATGGAAGTCTAAGAACCACTCTGACTGACTCATGACGAAGTGGCCTGTGAAGAGGCCTGCGACATGGTAGAGGAAGTAGCCATGGTCGTAACGGTACTAGCTGTAGTTCTAGACCTAGTGCTGTCCTCAACCACCCTCACTCTTCTTGCTGCTGCTCTCTCTCTAGCCTCTCTCCGCAGTCTCCTCTCGTCTCCTGGACCTAACTCTAGGAAAGTCAAAGGTCGACTGAGAGCTGTTCTACGAGTGGTCCTACGGTCGTCCACTAACAACTCCTCCTCGCTACTGCTTGCATCACTCATGAGTTACAGTGTGTGTGATCTAAACAAGAATCCACACTGAATCCTACCTCAGCATGGCACAAAACCGATTATGATACACAACTAACTTCGGTCGGCCTGGACAGAAAAGAGTTAGGTGGTTAGGTGCCAACCAATGTCAGATCCTACAGGGAATATTAAATCTATTTTTAGATTACTCTAATACAGATTGCAATGCAACAAAGAATATTTTACTCTATCTGCAGCTGTCTGTCAGTTGTTAGTCAAGTCCGTAACAACTAAATAATCAAAAATAATAATGCTCCCTGCAGAGATGTATGGTGAATGGCTGTTTATCTAATTAATGCCACGGCGAACAGTTGCCGGAATCCCCTCTCTCCCTGTATCCTTCTTTAGTTGTCACTTTGTGTCAACTCCCTGAGCATCGGGTTGAGCAGCGTGTTTGAAGGTGTGCAATCAGGCTCACCCCTGTGCCCCAAGTCAACGCCGAACCTGCCAGCCCCTGCACATTATTTATCCTCGCATGCAACGAGCCTTACGCCCGGTTTGATCTGGCTGATCAGGAGGCATTTAAGGAGATCCCACGTAACTCCTCAGGAATTATTTAACCTCGCAAACAGGACGACGATCACAGCCAGAATCAACACCGAGTCCCCGCCAGAAATATTTAAAGACGGGCTGGTAAGCATCTGTTCAAAGGGCTGGCATGCCCTGCATGACCTCTATTGCGCAGCAGCAGAACCAAGGACTTGCGGCAAAGCATGCGTGTACTAGTCCCAGCGGGTTGGCATGGTGACTGTGACCCGAGTGCTTCGTCCAGGGCCCTTCAGAGGCATCACCCGTCTCCCACCAGCTTGCTGCCCAGGAAGAATGCCAGCTCTCAAGGTTGAGCGCTCGTGACACCTCACATTGAGAGGACTCTCAAAACAGAACTCACTTCCTCACGGTAAGAAGCAATGAAGAGGGTAGATAAGGAAGGAAGCAACGTACCTCATAATGCTGCCCCCAACCACAGATTTCTCACCGGCAACCTGATGAGCATTTATGATGACCGGTATTTGCCTCGGCACAACCAACAACAGAATGCAGTTCTACCTCGGCTTAAATGCCACATCAGCGAGCTCTCATCATCCAGCGTACACCCCAATGTCACCACATAGCTTCCTGGCGCGCCCACACGACCCTGGGCCGCCTTTCGTTCAACACCCAAGCCTTATCACTGCCCCATATCTCATGCGAAGCACCGAACAGCTTTTGCGAAGAACCAATGAGCGCAGTTTGAACCAGCTCCGATACCAAATTGCAAGGAAAATGAACAGAAGCGAGATGACAATATTCAGATTGCACAATCACATTGAAAGCCAGATCATATCACAGTGTCCAGAAAATTGCATTGCACCAATGTGACACCAATGGAGAATCGTAGCACTGAAAACCAATGTCAATGAGAGCTTGCTCTCGCCACCACCAACATATGTATCCAGTCCCTTTCTCCCTACTTGGCGCTCGGCGCCCAGCCTACTCCTTACACAGCTACTACTAGCCTACTAATTGACAATGCAACTGTTGACGTCAGCAGCCTCCGAAGTACTTGAAGATGTCGCCCATGCAGACCATCGCCAATGCCAGGTATGTGCCCTCACATCATCATCATCATCATCCTTCTCTCTCTCCCTTGTCTCTCTCCCACGTCTTCCCTTTTGTACACCCGAAGACCACCCCTGCGCCTCACTGTAGTCCAAGCCCGCGGCTATGGTGGCTGGGCTATGGCGCTGCCCTCAGCAGTGCCCTCCTTCACACGACCGCATGTGCCCACACCTTGCCTCTCAGCGCCTGTCACAGCCCGCGAGCCTTTGCTCCAGCAGCGCTGCCGCTAGGCATGCAAGTGTGTGAATACCTGGCCACGCAGCGAGCTCCTTCCTATATGGAAAGAGCCTGCCTCATTCGGCGGCCTGGCTGGACTGGCCTGGGCCCAGAAGCTTCCGGTAGGCCCCAGGATGCTGCGCCTCTCTTGCAGCTACTGGGCCTCATTCGGTTGGGCCTCCCAATTGTCTGTGTATGAGGCTGCCATTCTCGTCCAGGGCCTGCTTCCTTTTGGAAAGGGCCTGGAAGGCCGTCGAAAGTCTTGCTGCTCCGCCTGTGTTTTCCTCAACCAACTGGCGCGATGAAACTGCCTGGACCCCAAGTACGGAATTGACAGCCGAGGGCCTTTCGTGATTTGTTAGGCCCGCCTTCACTTAGGGCGGCCACAGATGCAACAGGGGGCCCTTAGGCCTGCCGAGGACCCAGATCCTTGCACCAGCCTAAAGGTGTTTAAAGGGGGGTGCCTTAGTGTGATTTGGTTATTTGTTTTTTTATCTTATGTTCCGTGAGGAATTCTGATGTGACCCTCAGCCAAAAGTTGTTTGTATTGCAGTTCTACATAACATTTTTTTTTTCAGATTTTTTTGGAGGTTTTTTTTTTTTTTTTTTTGGGTCTGAGGCTGCCTGGGCCCATGCCCGGCCGGTCACCTGGTCAGCAAACCCGGCATGACATCGGGACCCGGGCGCCTGGGATATCTCCCTAGTATCATTTTTTATCGGACGTCTCGAAGTGTGTGTTCTTGTAGTGGTGCGGTCTGCTCGTGCATGCTGATCAGTGAGTCTGTGTTGGTCAAGAATTGAGGTCTTAGTACTTCTTACACGTGAAAAAAAAAAAAAAAAAAAAGGTTCCTGTCGTTTAGTAGTTTGCATTGAGAGGAAAAGCTGTGAACACTTTCCAGTTGGGCAATGGTTGCTTTGCCAGCAACTTTTCCCTTGTTTCAGTCTCCACTCTTTATAAGCTATAGTAAATGTGCAGAGCTCCACAACCGTGCTCTCCATACAGTCATATCTTCCCTCCTCCTGGTCTTGTGCGTGCTCAGTTAACATGGCATCCCGGGAATGATCTGTGTCGTTTCTCTGTCAGTTTTTGTATCAGGCAGTGCAAGTGGACTCAGCATGTTTTTTCTTTTGTGAAAATGCTCTGTTTTCGACATGTGACAGATCTTGGCCATGCTCTTAGCGGTATTGCTGGAGAAGCAAATGGTGGTGATTTGCCCAAATCTTGTACGATTATCAATACCAACTCCCACGTTTTGTGCTGTTATGAGATGTTTCGACTTTGTGTGTGTGTGTGTGTGTGTGTGTGTGTGTGTGTGTGTGTGTGTGTGTGTGTGAAATGATGACGCAAAGTCCACTTGATCAGCTCCGAGAGACAGTTTGTGCAGCATAGTCAGGCGGAGCTATTTTGCATGCAGGATTTTATGGTGATTTCGTTTCGCAGCTATTTGTTCATCTCTTGGGACATCACACCAGCATTTTACATCACTTCTGCAAATAATTATTCAATTTTAACACGATGATCAGGAGGGAAGCGCCAGTGATTCCTGATGGTTTCAGATGAATACAAAATACAAGGATCCACGAGACTACGACCCATAAACAGAGAAAAAACGAACAACTCAAAAGTTAAAAAAACAAGTACTCTCTCCTGATGCTTGAGACTCGTTTGTGCGGTGTGTTTACCGTGCACCTTTTGCTGATGCGACTTGACTTCATTGCGTGTTTGTGTCGACAGGGTGTGTTGACGGCGGTGGTGCTGTCCCTCATACCGATGCTTCGCCCCTATACATGGCAGAGTGTTCTACTGCCTGTGAGTGAGATTTTCATTTCCCTTGCCACCAGTTGTTCTACTGATAACACTAGAAATGAGTGAATGGCACCGATTGCATATCATTCCATCACATCGTGTGTTCAGAGCGATGCTGTTGCAGCACCCTATATAAGTGCTTTGGCCCAATGCATTCTCGGGCAGTGGAAAAAAAAGTGAGGGATCATGAACAGAACAGACATGATTTGTTGCCAGATTGCCAATCATCATCCAGGCACCCTTATAAGATGGTTGTCTGCGAAGATAGCAAGTGACTGAATTGGATTCGTCGGGCTTGGTTCAGCATGAAAGCCATAGGTGGGATTGTTTCCCAAGGATACATAGGCTGGGGAAGACGAGAGGCAAATGCTTGCTTTTTCTGTGATGAATTGACTCTCTCTCTCTCTCTCTCTCTCTCTCTCTCTCTCTCTCTCTCTCTCTCTCTCTCTCTCTCTCTCTCTCTCTCTCTCTCTCTCTGCATTCAGCTGTGGTGGCATCTCTAGCATGTTTTCTTCCCACAAATACGTTGGGCAATCCTGTCTCTCTGTTTTTGCAATTTGTGGAATTTTCTTGCTTTTCGCTGTACTTCGACGTAGGATTTACTCGCGCCTTAGCGAGCGCACTCAAAATTCTTGTTCCTTATTTTTTCCTTGAAGACCCAGAAATCACAGGAGCCCATTGGTATACTTCGCAATGAGTCCTTTCTTTGTGCATGTACATTTTGGAGATATCCCTGCAAGCCCCGTGATTTTTTGTTGATGGGTAGAAGAATAGGAATGGACGTAGGATTTTGCACGTTTTTATTGCGCGCGCAGAATTTTCGTTTAAACTTTTCAATTTCAATTTGGCTTTAGGAATTAGGCGCAGCTTCACTGGCATTTCGTGTAATTGTTTGGTGCGTTTTTGGTTTCTGCATGCATTTGTCGTTCCGCACTGCCCTCTAGCATACAATCTTTACGCGCTCCCCTAGCCCTGTTCTTCGCGCAAGCTTCTTCTCCCTCCCTTCACGCTCTTTCTTCTTTCTTGCCCCCGTTGAATCTTGGTCTTGCTCCGTTGTCTTTCATAACCTCCTTTCCCGCCTTCGTCTATACGTAGGAAGGCCCTGCTGATCCCCCAAGTAATCCTAGAAGTCGGACGGTAGTGTGTAAGGAGGCTCTGAACTCCTCACACTGCGATCTGATTGGCTACGAAGTACTTCATGCGGATCAACATGGCCCTCCCGCATCTCTTCCTCTCTCTCTTCTCCTTCCTCCTCTCTGTCGTCTCCTCACCCTCCCCTCTTTTCCGCAACTATGAATCTCGCAAGCTCATCGAGTGAGATCTCTTGCAATACATCGGCGAACTCTGGCACAGTAGTGGCTAGATGAGGTGGTGATCAGCGAGTTGCATTGTCCTGATGAGTCAGCTGCAACTTTGGGGGACTGCAGGATTTCGGCGAATCCGTGTAGTACTTGAGTGGACGGGGTGACGATTGCTGAGTCTTAGTGCTGGGTACATGGCGGCCGGAAAGGTGTGTTGATGATTGGTTGGATGGCCTGGGGCCATAGCTCGAGAGTGAAAGGCTTTGCGCCTTGGCTTCTTGTTCTTCTCCTTGCTATTTTTGGAGTTAAGTTGCATGGGAAGATGCCAGTTTTTCCTTCCCAAATCGAGCAAGTGTATATTTTCCTCTCCCTTCTCCTTCTCTATGGATGTATGAGTGAATGAAAAACACACTCATGCACAAGTTATCATTGCAAACCAAACACATGCGATCGCATGTGTTTGGTTTGCAATGATAACTTGTGCATGAGTGTGTTTTTGAGTGGCGTCGATTCACTCTTCCGTTGTCAAGATCTCACCGGGTGAGGATCGTTGAAACGTAAAAGCCAATGAAGGATGTTTAGGCGAAATGATGTCTTTCGCTTGGATCTCATTTCCTTTGCAGATCGGGATGATGAATGGATGATAGATTGACGCGGTTTTCTTTTGTTTTAACGAAGATCTTCTTCGCACTTTCAATCTACGAAGCCACCGCGCTTCCCAGCACGATCTTCCACTTGCAGGGAGAAGTGTGACGAGGAGATTCACAATGATTCTGTGGATTTCGATTGCTAGGTGCTCCACTTTAGCAACCTTTCGTTCGCCTTCCTCTCATATCATGTTGAATGGATAACCCTTGTTGTCTGTTCGAAGGGTTTTGGAATGGGCGTTTCTTTAGGCCGTTCAACCTGTAGAGATTTTTGCTCCTCCTGTCACTTCAACGGGGCAATCCATTTCATACTGACTTACCGTGAGGGCACGGATGCGCAGCCTGTAGTTCGTTTGTTTATGTGGTTCGGGAAGGGTAAGGTAGTGATTATGCTGTATGTATGTTTTGTCATGTTCGCTATACACAACTCAAAGAGTGTGTGTGTGTGGGGTCCCGGTTGGTGCTTTATTCACGATGTTCATGGGACGCTGGACCCAGTTTCCAGCAGGTGGCGCTC